ATCATGAAAACACTCCATTATTGTAAATCCTTGCGCAACAAGTTTCACGTCTCCAAAATGAGTGTAACAACGGAATATTACTTTACAAGTTGCGCGTGCCATATGTGCAATTGTTCGCACAAATGAAATTTCACCTTTTATCCAGCATAAATTAATGCTACTAGGTTTTTGGTCTAACTCATGTGGTCAATAATTTCGAAAGCTGCATACAGCAAACCACAAAGCCATGTGTAGCTTGATTTTAAACAATGGGGATACTATGTAATATTCTTTTATGTGATGTCGAAGATTGAAATTCTATTATGTGCTAACATCTGTGGTATTACATTGATTAACACAATAAGAATGGCAACCAGATTATGGTGACATTTCCTTATTAGCTCCTTAGACAATTCGTGTTTTAACAAACTATTATTGCATTTCTCAAAAAATTAGCTATTAAGACAGCGCATTCTATTTCACAATTGTTTTTAAGCCATTCAATTAAATTTCGTGTTTCCCTCGAACACATTGCGGTCGCACCAAAAGCGACACTTGTGAGAATGAAAATTTATGCAATATGTGGGAAGTTTAAATGAATTGATTCTCTATTAATACAGTATGCAACTAATAAATTCCAATTTTTAATTTTATGCAGTTTAACTTACGTCAGGTAAAGAATTGCACGTTGATCGTAAAATTTGCAATTCAGAATTTTTTACGACCAAATAAATTTGGCAATTTATTTTAACATTTAATAACAATGCAACGGATATTTATTATTATTGTTGTTGGGAATCAAAGTTTATATTTTTTTATAAAACAATAATGCGATGATAATAATGATGATAATGATAATGGTGATAATGATAATAACAATGATAATATTATATTAATGATAACGATAATGATAATAATTTTAAAAAATTTAAAAATCTTATCATGATTTAAAAGATATCAATTTGAAAGAACATCAAAGATTTTAAATAAAGTACCTATTTTAACATTTACATTTACATTTTTTGCTAACACTATTCACCAACTTGAATTTGCTTTGTATCATCAACTTGTAGGTCCCTACTTGCTGTGCTTGATTGGTCGTTATCGTAGAAAAACTATACGTGGATGTGGTATTTAGGAATTCCTCTTACACGACTAAATCAATAATGAGCCAAATGTGTGTATGGTATGCAGTTTGAAGTTATTAGTAAACATTCAAATTTAAAGTAATAAAGATAAGATGTAAAATAATTTCGGAGTAGGGTCATCCCATTTTTTATTTATTCAAGCCATTACAGTATATTTAAATTTTTATTTAATTTATTGTAAATAAAATTTTTACAAATTGATATTTCTTTTGCATGCTGTGCGTATAAATGCAATTTACAGTATATGATAAAACGTGACAGCGTATATCCTGTGTGCTATGAAATTCAATCAAGCACGCTTTTTAACATGCACCGAGCTATCGCGAATTTTTACTAGGGGATTCCTTTAATGATCTCGAATTAACGGATCATTCGAAATAAAAAAAAAACAATCGTACAATAACGGGTGACTGGCCAATCGTGCTACAAAATTAATTGTGATCAGTGATGCGCACAAACCACACGTTTATTTATAGAAGGTGCGTACACTAATTCACGGTATACGTGTAATATTACGCACATGGTTCAAAGGATCAAATTGAGATAATAATGAAAGCACTCTCATTATTCAAGGCATGAGGTGAGGTAGATGCACAATTTGTAGAAATCGCTACCACTTTGTGAAAATGAAAAATCCGAAAAATCACGTCACCACCATTGCCTCATGTGCAATAATTACACTCTGGTGTAATATTTGCGCTCTAGAATTCATTCATGCACCAAGTCCTTTGTCTTCAAAAGATCAGAAATCACATTATTCCCCCCCATTGTCATCATTCCTCGAAGCACAACACATGGAAACTTGCATCCATGCTGCCCTTATTTCCTGCGCAATATATGCATCACATCGGTCCCAAAAATAAATGTCGTGTATTAAATAATTCACAGCACGATTTTCTATGCAATAATGATGATGATCACGAATTTTCAAAAAGCAATGGGTGTGCACATTTCATCATCTTTGTTCATGAACCATGCGCCTTGGTATGGAATTCCGTCCATTAACGTAACTCTCGTGGAGTCGTACAACTCGCGTCGCTCATGAATCTCTGAGTTAGTCCCGAGTTTTATATTTTCGTCATGCCCCCTCTTGTCATGCGCACATCATGGGAACCAAAAATTTTTTTAATTATTTTTCGCGCCCAGAATTAATTAAACTTAAATTGCACGCCGTTATATTGTCTGCAACCGTGGTAAACGATGGTTATGAAATGCATACGGCATAACAGGATTGGGCTTGACTTAAACGGAATAAGCGTCTCCCAAACCTTAAGGTGCCTATGCGCTGACCCTAAAGGTTAAAAATTGTGATTTTTTCATCACTGTCACACACGAACTAATTTATCCTGGCAGAGAGGGATGATGAAGAAAACATTTGCGCGGACCAACAAAAAACCTGATGCACTTCATTTCTCCGTGGCTTGCCTTTTGAAAAATTGCATATTCTAAAACTTGAGGCGTTAAAATATCACAAAAAAAAGGGTTGCAAGTGAACGCCAAAATATATGCGGTCCCTAAGTAAAAAAAAAAGAAAAGAAAAAAGCAAAAGAAAAATTTTAAAAATAGCACAATTCCGTTCGCACAAACTGTACATTGGTCTTTCCTACAATGGATAACAAAAGATTCGAGGATGCGTGTCATTGAAGATGGTTCGAGGCAATTTCGGGAAATGGGAAACTAAACTGATGGTTTATTGCATTCAGGCAGGTGACATTACCGATTGCGTGAAGATTTTTCCGCGAGCCATTTTGTGCCGCATTTCCAGAAAGAAAAATTTCAAGATTCTTATGATTGTTGTAAGATGCGCGTCTCATTTGTCATGTCACACCCGAAAGAAGGCCATTTCAAAGGGCCGATTATGTTATCACCGACTTAATCATTGTGCGAAATATATTTAGAATAAACTAATAATGAATATTATGTGAACATTCTAAACGCATTTGATTAAATTGAAAGGGTCCGTTTTTGTTTGTGCGTACGCCTTTTGATGTCAACTTCTCCGAGTGGTGTTCTACAAAGAGTCTCTCAGGTTATTAGAAACGCAAGATCCATTGAAGACTACAAAGGGTCAAAATGGACGTTCAAAAGATACGATTCGATGTTTCCGTGTGGTCTTAATGTTTCTCAACCTTGAAATGGAAGGTTTTTAATGGCATTGAACATTCCTAATAGATTTATTATTTTTTTTTTTTTCAACGGTAAATTGACATGTTTCAGCTTCTCGCCTCCCGCCAACGCCATAAAAATAAACATGCACGATTTCGTACATAAGACCGGACTCGTTTCAATCCTTCTCTTCTCAAAAAAGAAATAATTGCATTTTTAATGAGTTGCGTTTTAAATGATGTTTCCTCGTGAATCACAGCTTCGCCCGTTCGTCCGAGGCATTGTCCAACTTTTTTTTTTTTTTTTTTTTTTTTTTTTTAGCGTTGATCGGTTTTGTCTAGTCGTTGCCTTGGCGTCAAATGTGAATGTAATAATGTGCCAACGACGCCAACTAGAATTCTGGCGATTGCGCATGTACTGTACGTAATATTAAAGAAATATTAAGGAACACGTAAAAGGCGCAGAATACATTTATGGGCATCAGGCATTTCCATTTGCGGATCCAAAATAAAGGTCACCTGATGACAACCTAATTATAGGTTTATATCATTTCTATGTACGTGCATTAAGATAATTTATACAATCCATACGTGCGGCGTGTGCAAATGTATGCGTCATGCGAATTTTAATTATTCAAATAAAAAAAGGAAACTTGTTTAATATTTCTTGGCTTTTGTTGTTTTTAAAGAAAAAAAATTATCGCTGCGCAAATTACGCAATGGACGGGAAGTATCGGAATCATGCGCATCGGCGAACCACGGCCCTGATAAGCTTGTTGTTTGGATCATCCTATCCGAAGTCATGCCGAAATTCGGAGTCGCATCCACTCGACAAAGGAAGGAAAAAACCTTTTTCACGTCATTCTTTGCGTTACGAATTAGCCGGGATTTACAATGTGAAAAAGGTCACTCGAAGTTTCGTGAAGATGACGAAGAAACAAAAGTTAGACCCTAAACTCGTTTGAAATCGGAATAACAGACCAATGAACTTGACATCTGTTCAGCTTATCACAGGTTGGTCGGTCGAGAGGTGTAACTTCCCTGAATACAGGTGACAAGGGAAGAAGTACTTTACTTTGTTTATGAATTCCTGGCACGATCATGGGAAAAATTTACTTGGACTCTCATGAATCTCGGCAAAAAAGCAATGGCACGAAATCGATGACTTTTAAATGTCCGTCTTCCTCTCCTCATTCACAATCACAGACATCATGTTGTTCGCAAAAATTTAGAGTGTGTAAAAGTAGGTTTGTTGTAGTTTTTATATATACTGTATATGCGTTTATGTAGTTGAATCAGAGTGTATACTACATTTTTTTTCTATGTCTTCCTTCTATTCTGGAAAGAACGGAGAAAAAAAGTTAAAAGAGAAAGAAAAAGAAAAAGAAAGAAAAAGGTGATGACATTTGAAGAAGTAACATAGACGACGACGACGACGACCGCACTATAGTTCAAAAGGGAATTGCTGAAGTGAGAAGGCGAAACGAGAACCACAAAAACCCTATCCAAATAACCCCAAAAGATAATTAACAGATAATATAGAAATTAAAAATAAAATGAAATAATTAAATAAATAAATAAACAAATAAAATCTCAATGTAAAACCCAAGAAAGTGTAAACCCTTTTACGCGTAATTCTTCTTTTCTTTTTTTTTTTTTTTTTTTTTTTAAAAAAAAATTTTTTTTTATTTTTTATTCATTTTTTTTTTCTTTTTTTTTCCTTTTTTTTCTTTCTCAATAAAAATATGTGCAGAATGAATCGATTTTTTCATTGAAAGTATTGAGGATGGTTCACAGAACCACTCATGTAATTTTGACACCCGAATCCAGCGAGCATCTCAGCAAAAGAAGGGTTACCGACCACGGGATTTGCGGGGTTGACGTTGGCACTGTTTCCGCCATTCTGGTGAAGATATTGGTAAAACTCGGTTCTAGTGTTGTGAACAGGGGAACCGTTCGACGACGTGATGGAACTGGCGGGAGGAATGTGAGGAGAATGTTGTTCGTGATGGAGCATCGCCTCTGACATTATCTGTTGTTGCGCCTGTACCACTTCGGGAATTAAGCAATACAACGATGAGTCAACCTGGTGTGAAAATCCATTGGCGGCATGGTAGAAGGGGGTCAGTTCGTTAATGGGCGTAAAGGAGAAGTCATGATTGTTGCCGTGATGATGCTGTTGTTGGGAGTGTTGGTACGCATGATGCAGATCCACCGGGCTGTAAGGTAGAAATGGATTGTCATATTGACGAATCTTACTGAATTCGCTTTCGCGCAACTGAACTTGGTGAGGTGAAACCGGGGTTAAAGGTGCGTTCGGTGTAATCGGAATGTTTGGTGTAAGTTGCTTTTGCGAATTGGCATACTCCTCTGGGTTTTCCGTAAACACGGAAATCTCGGAACTCGGAAGCATCGCATAAGGTGAAGAGGGCACGGGATCGTTACGCGAATTGCCATTGTGTTGTCGAGGCGACATACTGATCGATGGGGATTGAGTGTTGAGTGCATTGAAACCGGCCATTTCGTCACTCACCTTTTCCGAAGATGAGTCGGCGGTTTTCTCTGTTGTTCTTTCAACGGAATTTTTCGCAGATTTCCTCCTTGCCGGACCGGAGGGATTCGTGTGAGACGAACGTCTTCGTTGCTTTCTTTTGTCAACTTTAGACTTTTTTTTGTTGGGGCAGTATACATAATTTGGGTAGTTTTGCATGTGTTCCAATTTCTTTTGATCGGCCAGTCTTTCCCACTTTAGAATGGTCTCCTCTGGTTCGCTTTTCCACATATCAGAGATTTTCTTTGAAATCTCCGCATTTGTGAGATGTTTTTGGGATGCGATGATCGCCGGTTGCTTGGCCTTTCGATACAATATGAATGCGTTAGGAGGCCTCGGTGTCCTCTTGGGTTGTATCTTACTACTGTCCTCGTTATTGGCATTGAATGGATCGGGAGCACTCTGTGCGTCGGTCTGATCGTTCCCCGTCGCAGCACCAGCAGATAGAACAGCGTCACCTTGACCACTCGACGTGGGAGGTGCGTTGACGTCATCATTGTTTGTCGGTGCCGTGAACATCAAAAGTCCCAAGTGCTTTCTTTTTGCTTCACTGTCCATTATTATTCTTTTGAACGAGAGGCAAATCTAAACGTAACGTGAATTAACGAAGGTTACGGATAATTTTCCGTTAGATGGTTATGTAAGGGATGGCTTTAGTTGGATTGGTTGTAAAGAAAAGAAGGATTCACAGTCCAAAGACTGAAGGGTAGTTGTTGTGTACTTGAAATGGAAAAAAAAACTTGAAGCTGGCATTTTTATAAGATTTTTTATTTTACAACAAAAAAAAAAAAAATTTTTTTTTTATTTCGGTAACACGAATAATAAATTCCATGAAGTAACGACTTTTTGAACTTCAAAAGTCACACACTGATTGACCAAATGTAATATATGTATAGTATATACACTTGGCCCAAAAATAAAAAAAAATTTTTTTTTTTTTATTGTAAATATTAAGAATAAATCGTTTGTGCTCTGATAGAGGATACGTGCCAGCGTTCATGTGAGAAATTAGAACAAGGCCCCCAAAATTTAGAGTGATTCTTTTTTTTTTTTTTTTATGTTGTGCATAGCAACCGATTCTTTCATCATCCTTTTCCGAGTTCCGTAATCACGTTTTAAATTCTCTAAAATTGCCGAACCGGATGCGTCCGTTAGAGCGGGTTCACCTACCTTGCAGTGTTCGTACGTTTTATGAGATGAATTAACAAAAAAAAAAAAAAAAAAAAAAGCCTCACGTAGTAGATTAACTAATTAATTCCCTTCTTCTACCAATAAAGCAGGATTTAAATTGCTATATATTTTAGATTATTTTAGATCATAAGAGAGATAAAGAAATGGCACAATTAATTTAACTTTTCTCACTCTATCCAAGGATGTTCTAATTGAATTATTTATATGTTCAACAAGACAATATGATCCCTATGAATTGAAAACAATAAAATTAAGTATCACGCATATATTGTATTCGTGGATCAAATGAACGGCGCAAATGCTGATTTTCTACACAGATACAAACTTTATTAATTTATTCTTTCAGCGGCACCTTCCAACTATGGGCAGGTTTTCTTTATTTTCTATTTTCTATTTTTTTTTTTTTTTTTTTACTCTTGGTACGTTTATTCAGCGCTCCAATTGCTAGTTATTTATAAATATCAAGGTTGGCAAAGCGCATTTACCATAACCGACGTGGCTTTGGAATAGAAAAACCGAAAGGGTAGAAAAAAATGTGGCGCACAGCATATTCCATGACAATGTACGCACATACATGGACTGTTTAAGTGACCGGTGACGCAATGACCGACAATGACCGAAGTAAAAGAAGCGTTTTGTGACACGCTTCGGCCATTATTCCCCCTTGGACGTTTTGACCATTGTTATTTGAAGTATGGATCTTCCATAATGGGTCACGTGACAAACACAGCCTCAGCCTTAAATTGGTTATTCACGTACACAATACGCATTATACACTCTATTCTCTTTTCCACAATGAGGCTCATTGTCCCATTATATTCAAGGGTATAATATAAAAAAAAATTCGATTTGTATCTATTGTGTGTGGATTGTGATCGCACCGAGGTGTTTCGAAAATTCTTTGCATCCTGATTTTATTTTATTTTATTTTATTTTATTTTATTTTTTGCCGCCTAATGCTTTATATTATTCGGTATGCAACTTTTCCTTAATTGAGGAGATTTTTTATATTAAAAACATGGAGAAGTGCTGTGCATTTAATGTGAAAAAAAAAAGAAGTGTCCTTTCCAAGCAACGCTACCACTGTATACATTATAATATTAATTGATTAATTAATGTATCTAATCGTCGGGCACCAACCACTTTTGTCGTTTCCATGAATCAAGTCACAAATATTGCAGTGTTTAAGTTCTCTCATTACTTCGGGAATCAAAGATTGCCGAATGGACATTTTTACTTTTTAATTGGAATGCGACGCCACCGGGAAGATAGGAATTCCAATTCCCATTTTATAATAATCATAAATAGTGGTCATTTATGGTCTTTAGTTGAATTATTTGGGTCATAATTAAGAACTTTAAACTATTTTTGCGTGCATGACCACCCTCGACACAATTTGGGAAAACAAAAGCTTGACTAATTAATCTTCGTTTGAATTCGTTTTGAGACCACATGTTAATTATCGTAGCCACATCTGGTCGATGGACGTCATTCTTGAAAATTACGCATACGACAGACATCAATCAATCAATTTAGTATCTATTGGCAAAGTCATTCATGCGGAGTAAAACCTCCGATCGTCTGTCGAAAACCGACGATCCGGTTTCCCATTTAGATCACTACCATTTTCACATCGTGCCACAAGGAAACCCGTGTTCTGTCCTCACGTTACTAATATTGTTGCTGCGCGTATTGCAGAAATTCTGCACGAAGGGGAGGATGATTCTCACACATTTATTGGTTCATGAAAGGGGTTGCTATTTATTGTCTCATGAATCATTATTGTGAAACGCCCAAGAATCGATTCTAGAGTCCTATGTTTCGCGGGGTGTAACAAAAGTGTAGATGAAACAAGAAACTATACGAACCTCAATTTTCTTGCCAATGCCCACCACTTCCGTTTTAAACCGTGGTAAACTAGGGGGGATTGCGAAACAAGGATTACAAGAGAATGTTTTATTGCCATCCTATACATAAAAAAAGGTATAAAATTCCTCGTTTACCTTCTCATGGCAATTTGAATCTCAACATTCCAACATTTTTCTTTTGACAAGAAAAAACCCTTAAGAGAGCTACCCCAAGCAAAAATTTATTCTTAATAGATCTTTATTTTCTGAAGCTGCGCTTCTTACTTATAAAATTAGAAATAGCCCACATTTACCCTCTCCAAACATGCATTTCTCACGTACCAAGAATATAATTGTTCCCTTGATTATTTTGCTCCTTTTTGTCATTGATGCTCTGGGTCAAGATCATACGTCGGGACTAAAAGTCCGAAGTAACCCGAATGATGGCTCAGTTCTCATGAATTGCCCTAAAAAAGTTCTTAAGATCCCAGTCAAATGGAGATTCACCTCCTTCGTCACAGAACTCGGGAAGCGCGAAAAAAAGAAGCTTGGTGAGAAAATAAAGAAACTTGTAGAGAAAAAGAAGAAGGACGCCAAAAAAAAGAAACTTGTAGAGAAAAAGAAAAATGAAGCGAAAAAAAAGAATGGAAAAAGGGAGGTGAACATAGAGAATGAGAAAAGGGAAGTGAGCAACGAGAATGAGAAAAGGGAAGTGAGCATCGAGAATGAAAAGAAAAATGAAGTGAACAAGAAAAACGAAGTGAACAAAGGAAACGGAAAGAAGAACGAGATGTGCAAACAGAAGCAAAATGGGATCAAAAAGATAGTAAAAAAGAATAAAAATAATGAAATTAAAATTGTTCTTGCCCAAGAAGCGATTATTGTGTTAGATGTGTAAAGATTTATTCGAAATTAATTTTTGCTTAGATATGCCATTGTTAGTATAAAAAAAAAAAGAAAAAAAATTAATTACGTAATGCAAACATGAAAATCAAATTGCCTACTCGGACACCTTTGTAGTACAACCCCGAATGATTGATTGAAACGTGTTTGTAATAACCTTACTTGTAAAATAAAGAAATTTGTGAAAAGCAATTTTCCTTCTTCACACGTACAATATGTGCGGTACATACTGTGTAGAACGCGTTATCCAGTTTACATTTTCTTTTTATGCTGTATGCTATCATGATGATTATAAAATGTGACTGATCAAGCTTTTTTTTGTCTCAAATTTTTATTCCCAATGCAAAATCCCTATACTATTATCATCATCAGAACGATTAAATATGATGCGTATATTCATACATAGTAAGGGAATTTTTGTCCAGTTTTCCAAATCGAAATAACAAGTGAATTCATTATTATTTATATACATAGTATATTCAATTATAGTAGTTATTCTCTTTGAAGCGTGTTAGTCGAAAGTGAAATCTTGTGTGTGATAAATTAATGTGATTAAATACACTGTATATTACCACAAGTATTGCAGATGGTGTGTGAAAAAATTTCAAGCAGCATGACCATTTCCGATTGTTATGGTTTAATTAATGTAGAACCCGATTAACAAAGGAATCCTTTTGAAAGAAAAAAAACTTCTTTTTTTTTTTAATAAAAGATTTTTAAGTTCAATTAATAATTTGTCGAACCAAGATTTATCAACATCAAACCATAAACACAAAAGCCCATTTTCATTGGTGACTCTACTAAAACTCCGATGGCTTTAAAAATAAATGGTAATATGATTGCTTTGCATGTTTATTGTAAAATCTCTAAATACTGTCGATGAATTTTAGAGAAAGACGACTCGCAAAAACATATGGCATCACCACGAAATTTGTATGTATTCTAAATTATCCTGCTTGTACAGTATGTGCTGTCATGTAAAATCTAACGGGTCCTTTGTACCATATACTGTATTACTGTATATTGAACGAGTATTGTACCGCTCGGTGCTACGGAGTAAGGGGTCTTGTGATAACCTAAATTTAATACATAATCGTCAGAATTACTGTATATGCGTTTTAGTCTAGAGCTCTGCATAACGCATGTCAATAAAATGACAATATTATAAACCTTCATTTAAGATATTATTATACTGCAGAAGGACAGTTGGGGTATTAAAAATCATGTATGGTTTTTACGTTTATAAATTGCATATATTATGCTTCAATTGATCTTTTATTTAAATATAATCACAATTTTAAACAATATTAAGATCAATATTGTTGATGAAATTAATTTTTAATAAAGTAACTGAAATCATTATACCAAATAATACTGCATATACTATAAATTCATTTCTATTTTAAATGATATAATCAAAGCTATATTAAACATAGTTGACCATTTTAAATTTCTAATCAACATGATATATTATTGATAATATTTTTTTAAAAAATTAAAATATCAAATTGATCATTGTATACTATACAATTAGATAATTTTTTAAAAAAAATAAATATAGTAAATACATAATATTACTAAAATGTAATAAATTTTTAAAAATTTATTAAATGATTACAATATATTGAAAAATTGTACAAAAGATTGATAAAAATTTAATTGTATTTCAATAAGTAAAAAAAAGTATTACCTTATATAAAAATTAAATAAAAACTTTAATATTTTGTATTTTTAAAATTTCTTATCATTTTTTAAAAATATTTATTATTTCTATTTTTGTTTTTTATTTAATTATATGAAAATTATTTCCATCAAAATTATTTTTATGATAAGCAAATTCAGAATTGTCTTTATATTAGATTTCTCTCAAATGATCAGTTACAATGTCATAATTCAAGAAATTTATATTGTTATAAACAAACTTAAATATACAGTGTGTTAAGAAAGTCTTGGACACAGATTTTTATTTATAATTTTGTAAGCAATGCATCATATCACATGATTTATAGCTTAAATTAATAATATGAATAATATAAAAAAAATTAATAAGAAATTTATTTATTCCTATTTTTAATTACAAGTTAACAACACTTATTTATTGACTTGATTAAATTTACTATAGTTTTGATTAATATATTTTTTTACTCCTCAATTATAAATTGATACAATTCTTTATATTTTTAGATTGTTATACAGTATTTCTACATCTCTTTTAATAATAGATAGGTCCACTTTACTTACTTCTTCTTATATGCTCTAGTAAGTATTAATATTGCTAAAGGAAGTTTTTTTTTAAATTCCTGGCTATTTAAATAATGTAAAATCATTACATGTAAAACATTTACTCTTTTTTCTCTCATTTTATTTGATAAAGTTCTTATTAATATAGTCAGATCTTATCTAATAATTTGTCCCAACATATTTAAAGCCTTCAATAATATTTTTTTAAGATGATCAAAATATTTTTTATAAACTATAAATCCAGTTTTTTTTAATTTATTAATAATATAATAAATGATAGACTTTTGAAAACCTATTCTATGCTGAATTTCGGTGACATCTTTAATATTGTTTTCCCACAAATGTTGTATAGAAATGGTCTGCACAAGTTGATTGATAATTTTTATGTTATCTGTTATAAAAAAAATTCTAATAGGTAGAATGGATTGTTAATATAAAGCAAATAATAATGAAGTTGTAATATACTTAATTTGGAACTATTCAGATTTAAATTGGATAAGTTATGTAACTTTTAATTTTGTCAGTAATTGTTCAAAGACTTTCTTAACACACTGTATATATGCTTTATAAAATTCAAGAAATAGTTGAGTTTAAAAATTTTTTATTATTATAAAAAATTCAAATATCTTTATCAATTGCTTTATATTTATTTCTATTTAATTTTTAAAATTTATATTTAATAATTTTTTATAATATTCTTAAAGTTATATTAATAAAAAATTATTAATAAAAAATTATAATATTAGTAAATAGAATATTATTTATTACTATTATTATTATTTTTTATAATTATTATTAATTTGTTATTTATAAATTTTTGAATATGACTAAAATAAATATTTTAAATTAAAAATTAATATTACTTAAATATAAAATTAAATATAAAATTAAATTTTATATATCTAATATTTATTAGAATTTTTTGATTAAGTTTTAATATACTGTATTATCAAATTAAATAATTTTTCTTTATATTTGAACCATTTTAATATGATATCTTATATAATATTTAAAATCCGAAATCTAATAAAATTTTGATATATACAAATATTATTTTATCAATATCTTTGTTATAAATAATAGCTTTATTGTTTTTTTTTATTATAAAAAAAAACAAAAAATTATAATATTTGTTTTTATTTTTATTTTTATTTTTTTAACCCGCAGTCAGGTCAGCATGGCATGTCTTTATTGTATATATGCTAGATATTTACAAATTATTGTGACTTTCACATACTGAC